CTATTTCAAAGATTCTTACTATATTAAAGTATATATATAGTACTATCCAATGTTTTTGTGGAAAGCATGGGTTTGCTAGAAAATGAAAGTGATTTGAATACATGGTTTGCAATGATTTATACTCTATATTTGTGGAAAGCATGATCTGGTAGAAACTATATGTTATTGTGGATGTGAATTGATTTGGAAAGTTGTTTGTGTAGGCTATTTATATATACATATATGTAAAGTGTTTTAGAAATTGAGAAATAAGCCCTTTTGCAATGTTTTGCATTAAAAATCATGTTTTGTTTCTTTGTGTGATGTGCATAGTTAAACACACTTGATAAATGGTTTTAAATGCAATTCCTTAAGAGTCGATTTTAGTCTGAATTTGATGCAGATGTTTACACCATGCATTTTAATGTGAAAACCAATATTGAAAGGTTGCTAAACCTTGTTTTCAAAAGATTTAAAGAAAGCTCTTGAAAACCTTGATTTGGTTTTGAAAACGGTTTTGGCAAACCGAGGGCATCGAGAGTAGGTTGAATGTCACATCAGAATAGTGTGACCCTTGTGTACAAGTGAGCTCTAACTAGAGAACTCTTGGGTCATCAACAGGCTGTTAGACATGGCGGGGCCACGGTCTGTGATATATACATGGCAAGACCACGGGTTGGTGTATATGGCTAGGCCACAAGTTGATATACATGGTTGCAACCACATGATTTCTCTGATGTCGTCCAATATCATCGAGATTTCCATGGTTGTGGGAATCTAGTGGAGGAAGACCTCTCGGATTGTTATTATGTGGAAGTGGGTCCATGGATTGATTATTATGATGATTACCTACTAGAGAGCCTTGAGAGTTTTTAGACTCGCACTCTTTTGCATGGTGGAGAGTTAATGTTTTTTGCAGCTCCCCTATTTGATTAAAAGCTTTCAGTGCTTTATATATTAATCATGAGTTGATATATGTGGATGTACACGATTATTTTTACATGCCACACCTTTTGGGAGCGTACGTGCTTTTATATAGCTATTTTATTTTTGAACAAAATAGAAATTTTGATGATTGAAATTTTATTTTACTACGCTTGTTTCGACATTGTTTTGCCAAGGAAAGTATTGCTTTATGATTTTACGGTATCATTTTTACAGGGAACAAATACCCCACTAGTGAATTGGTTTTTATAAGATTATCATTTTATATTTTGGTTTTATTATTCAAATGATTTGCTTAAAGCTTATTTCTCATCTACACCCTGCTCACGAAGTCGATGATCACCGAGTTTGTGAGACTTACCCTACTTATCTCCTTTTGGCAGATAGTGATCGACCTAGCATGCATTCATCGACATTTATTCTCCACCGCAGATAGGTAAAGGTATCTCATAGCACTTTTCAAGTCGCTCCATTGCTAGAGGTCGAGTCATCCGTAGTGTATTTTGCTTTTGTAAATAGACACTAGTTTCAATGTAAATGCACAAATTGGAAATTTTAGACTATAATGTATTCTTACAATTATGGTGAATAAAGGTTAAGATGGCTATTTTACGATGTATGTTCAAATCTTATTACATAGTGTTATATAGTTCAAAATAAAATATATTGATGGTATGAATACGATGAAATAACCGAAGTCTCAATTAAGGCTTGTTTAGGACTTGACGGTTCTTCCACAAGACTCAGACGTCGATAGTGATCAAAGAGCAGTCGTTGCACTTCTTTTTATGTGCAGTGGTCTTTTTTCTTATTGTACTCCTTCCAAGTTCACCATAACGGATCTTTGGAGGGAAACACATCCTAGGCTTAGAGGAAGATGGAAAAAGAAACCTACAAACATGAACATAGAAAAAGATATAAGTATACATATGCAATAATTTTTTTATTTACTTATTTATTAAGTATAAAAAAACATAAAACAACAAAACTTATCAAAATTATAGATTTTGCTATTATTATTTTTTAATAATATATATATAATAAAAAGTATATATATGCAATATAAAAATATATATAATAAATAAGTAAAACTTATAAGAAATCTACCGCTTCAAATAAAAATAACAGAGTAATTAAAAAATTATAATTACAAATAATAATAATAATAAGAATATAACTTGCGGCATATGTGCTGCAATCTCCAAAAAAAATAACTCACGGTATTTACCGTGAGCTCCAAAAGAAATAAAACACCAAAAGAAAGCTGCATAATAAAATTATAAAAAAGTGCCCAACATGCCACAAGCTTTAGCACAAAAGCCAAGTAAAAAAAAAATATATATATATATATATAAGAAAAGGAAATCTATGTTGTGTCTTAAGAATAAAACAAAAGCACCGTTTCCAAAGGTCTCTTTTACACGTTTGCTTGTGCTGTGTGCTCCAACCCAAACTTTAATCTAATATTAAAAGAAAAAGAGAGATAAACCGTGGCTTGTGTTGTGAGCAAATAAAAAGCTAAAGATAAAATAGCTCTCAAAAAGAGTAAAAAGGTAAAATAAGGTTAAAATATCAAAGGCACTAAAAACAAAGTAAAATAAGAGAATGGAATCCATGCATTACTCTTCACAGAAAAATATATATAATTATTATTATTATTATTATTGACATCTTCTTCTTATAAAATCAAACAATTTAAGTATCTACTTGAATATATATATATAAATTCTTTCAATAAAAAATTTCATCTCATGCATGAAAAATTTCTTATTTCATATTTTAACTTGGAAATATGAAAAAAAAATTTCATGCAGGGGCAACAAACATGTAAGCAAAAGAAATTTAATTTTTTTGAAAAGCAAGAAAAATACTAATAAAAACAAAGAGAGAGAGAGAGAGCAAATAAGAAATTATAAGAAGAAGAAAAACTTATGTGTTAAAAAAGAATCGCAAACGAGCAGACCTTATTCAGAATTTTATTTTGCTTAGAATCTAAATAAAGAAAATTGTTTATAATAACTTCTTATTTATAGAGCATATAGAATCAAGGTTTTTATGAAAAGGATTAACATTTCTTTTACGATTTGTATCTTGAAAATATTATTCTATGAAAATATATTGTTATATAATCAATTAAATATTACACTAGATAGTAATATGTTATTACCTAAAGCATTACTGCTTAAGGTGTTACTATCCAAAACAAAACTACCTGAAACATTACTGTCTAAGATGTTATAGTACAATACGTTATAATACAAAATAAAACTTTTCCCTAAAGTAATACATAAGAATTATTCTTAAGTGAGAATTCTTCTGCAAGGGGCAAAATGCAGATAGTTGATTTTGGTTAATCTTTAGTTGTACAAAGAACAACTAAAATAAGTGAAGTGCTACTTTATGTAGAACAACTAGAACAAGTAATGCGCTACTTTACGTAGAACAACTAGAGCAAGTGAAGTACTATTTAATGCAGAACAACTATAATAAGCAGAGCACTACTCCATATGAAACAACTAATACAAGTAGAACAACTACTTCGAATAAAATAATCACTTCAATTGGATGATACTGAAAGCAACTCGGAATAAGTGGCAGGGTTCATGGTTTACTTTCATATGGGGATGTTTCGAAGAGTTTAGCTTGGTGGTTCAGATATGAAGGTAGTTAAGTGGTTTTTCTCTTAACCTTTTCCTAAAGTTTAAGTGTTTTACCCTCTTATCTTGTTCTCATATGCTTGTTCACATACACCTTATTCTCTTGTTCCTATTCATGTACAATTTCTTCTCTTATACTTGTTCACATACAACTTCTTCTCTTGTATCTTTTCATGGATACCTCTTCTCTATTACCGTTTACTCAAGAACAAGTCTTATTACATCCAATTATATTAACTGTTACTCACATTAAAGCTCTTTATAATAATATCATTTATGAGGCGCATTAAAGTTTGTTCTTGAGTAGCTGTCACTTTTAGCACTATATATAAAGCCTCACAATTCATTTAGAGGGCTTCTTCCCTCTTTAAAAGGCTAACACATTCTCCTCCAGAACTTCTCTCTCTCTAAATTCTCTCTTTAATTCTCTTTTTATTGTCTTCCACTTGCCACGACACTTAGTATTTCAAGAATTACTCTAATCTTTCACTCTATCACCTTTGATGCATCATTTTACTTATTTTTAACACTTCCTCTCCCTATCACAAGAACCCCTTTTACAAATGCTAAGTGGCTTAGCTTGGTTAATTATATCAAATTTAAATTGTATAAAGATTATTAATTTTACCCATTTTTAGGAGGGACAATATTTTCTAAGTGATAATAATCATATAATCTATTGCATGTAGTTGAGCATTTGGCTTATTGATTAGGATATGATCTCCCTATCTAAAAAGTAAAGTTAAAAGTCCCCTTCCCTTAATAAAAAAATATAAAATTGTTGTTCTTGTACTTTAATTTGTGGAGAAAACAAGGTGTAAAGAATGGATTTGGCGATAATTGCAAATTAAGCTTTGATTACTATTCTAGTCAGTTACAATCCCTGCATATATAGGTGTTGGATGCATAGTAATAGAATAATAGAATTAGAAAAGGCAAAATGGTCTTACTAACAAAAATGAATAGTAAAAGATGTGAAATAGTAAACTAAAGATGGTAAAACTGAAACTAAGGTAAAAGACTAATTAACTATTTGCAAAAATTAAATTAAATATTAATTCAATAACAAGTCCTTAATATTCCTCCTCAAGATGAGTATGAATGTTGTGCATGCTCATCTTGCTTAGATAATGACTGAAAAGGTCCTAGTTGTAGTGTGTTTGTGAATTAATCTAACAATTGCGACTAAGTAGGAACATATATCGGAGAAATGGCAAATGCCTTGTTCTCTCCTGAAAATGCCTTATCCCTTATGAAATGGCAATCCGTTTCAACATGCCTTGTTCTCTCTTGAAAAATGGGATGCTTATAGATGTGTAAAGCAGATTAGTTGTTACAATGCATTTCAACTTCTTGTGTGTAATGATCTCCAAGGTCTTTAAGTAGAATGTAGAGGAAGAAAAATTATTATCCAATTACATGTCGTCACGTAAACTTAATGATATCATAACCATGTAATTAATTATAAAATAATTAATTTATTGGTTGAATTATTTTAAAGACACATAGTTGAACCAATTCATCTACGTGTCATATATTTATCCCTTGAGATAATTTGAAGATAATCTTTAATTTAGATGAATTAAAATTTAGTTATTGATCATCCAATTTATCTCTAAATAAATCAAGGTAATTTAGAGACAATATTCATATTTTTGACCAATCAAAATTTAATTATTGGTCATCTAATTTATCTTTAATAAAATGATAATTTAGAGATAAAAATCAAATTTGATTATTTAATTTATTTCTAAATAAATTTAGAGATAAAACTTAAAGTTGGTCAATAAAAATTCAAGGACTCAAAGTCTAGTTAATAAAAAAACTTTCAATGAGTCATTATATTTATCTCTAATTAAATTAAGATAATTTAAAAATAATTCAAAGAGACCCCATTGTCATCAAAGTCTCTCATCTAGTGCTATACATAAGGGGGCTCTTCCAAACCATTTGATTCATTCGAAGGCATTCGAAGATTGAGAGCTTTTTGAAGATCAAGAAGAGTAGAAGATTTTTGAAGTGAAGATACCAAGTGAAGTTCGTAATCAAGATATCTAGTAACGAAGTTCGTGATCAAGATATCAAGTGAAGTTCATGATCAAGATATCAAGCAACAATGAAGTTCATAATCAAGATATTAAGCAAAGTTCATGATCAAGATATTAAACGAAGGTCATGATCAAGATATCAAATATAGTTCGTGATCTAGACCAAGTTGTGAAGACCCTTAAAGCAAAGATATCAAATATAGTTCGCGATAAAGGTCAAGTATAGTTTGTGATCGAGATCAAGTCTGAAGACCCATGAAACGAAGATATCAAATATAGTTCGTGATCAAGTCGTGAAGACCCTTCAAACAAAGATATCAAATATAGTTCGTGATCAAGATATCAAGTATAGTTCATGATCAAGATCAAGTCATGAAGACCCTTAAAGCAAAGATATCAAATATATAGTTCGTGATCAAGATTAAGTTGCCAAACCCTTGAAGTGAAGTTCATGATCTAGATAAGTATGAGTTTGTGACTCTTAAAGATGAAGTGAAGAAATTAATCACTAGAATTTCCAGATATTATAACTCACATGAAAATTACATGCGAATGATTGCATGTAAAAAGGATAAAGATTAATGGGGGACATGTGAGACCCCCACCATGTGAAAGATGGAAAAGAGTACTTAATTGAAAGAAAACCATGGTTTGGCAAAGGTAGCCCATGGTAAATAAAGTAAGATTGGTAATGTGACTTGAAA